ATGAACCTTCTTATACCGCTATTTTCAGGTATAGTCTCATATTTTCCATCTGGCAACTCATACCTTGTTGCAGGACCTCTGACAGGCACATCATCAATATATGGTACAGTTACTTCAGGAATTTCTTCTTGTAAAATATACGTAACATCATCATGGAAAATTGGAACGGAATTTGTCCAACCCATGGGTAGAGTGACAAGCCTTAAAGCTCCAAAAGGTGTTTGAAATGTAGTCAGATCCCTGGAAGTTTCTGCCAAGAGCCTTTCATCATATCCTACGTATAAATCAAACATTCCTCCGCAAGCACGACCAGCGAAATGCGTAGCAAGTGCATCGGTTGCCGGTGGTAACCCTGAATGCGCTATAGTCACTGCATTTAAAGGTTCCAGGCTATGTACAAGCCTCAAACTTTTTCCATCTTTCTTTAATACACAAAACCATCTTGACCTATAAGAAGAATTTGAGGGTTCATATACCCCAGCATCCAATTTGGTCTTAATAATTCTGCACACTTCTTGATAAAGTCCAGGAGGTATTGGAATATTTTTCAAAACCCACGGCGTATGTGGAATTATTGGAATGTCTACGGGTGGGAAGTATTCTGTTTTGAAGCTCCCCCTCTCACTATCATCCCAAGCAAAGGCTTCGTTGTTTTCCATCATAAAATAATGTAGTAGTTTGCGCTCCTCTGGCCACAAGAAATCGCCGTCATGAACTTTGTCAAATTGCTCTCTTCGCTCTTCAGTATAGCGTCCCGTGGGTGTGAATTTTGGTGGGTTTCTATTCAGCTTTGGCAAGGTGTCCATTGGATCGCCTTTTATATCCCGAATAATTCGAAATTTATCTGGTAGGTCCTGAAAGACGGGTCGGATTTTCTGTGCGACTGGTTTATACTTTTTAGTTACCAGTACCTCCCTTGTCGCAGGATGTTCACCCTCCACTTCGCTCGGTTGCGCTTTACCGTCATGGTTATATATCGTATTCATCATGGTTTCCACTGTAGATGCGGTGCCCGATTCTTGACTTTGCTTAGAATAATATTTTTCTAAGTAGTTTACCAGAACCGTACTAGCCGCCTTGTCTGTCATCTTTTCTTTTTCATGTTTTAAGTATTTTGTAAGATACAAATTCCTAGTCTCTTCTTCAGAGAATTGATCGTCCATTGGTAAGGCGTACGATAGGACTTTATATCCTCCCGCACCGTCTTCTTCGAAAGCTATCGCGATTTCTCCTTGATCTTTTTCAATCAAATCATCGAGGGTTGAAAAACTTTCTCAGTTTTCGGTTGAAGATCCTCTTCAGTGTGCATTTTCATCATTACTGGTGGTTTTCCTCTGTCAAAAGTGGGTAACATTGCTCTTCTGCCAGAGTTTGGATCCGTTATGGTTACCGTCTGTCCTCCGTCCGTAGAGTTTACGACCACGCTCCCTGTTAACACGTCAAAGGGCCTGCCCAATAGTACTTTATAGGCTGGGTCCCGTATTACATGCACTTGCAGGTAAATCATAATTCCTCCGAAGTTAAATGGAACATTTTTGGCGAGACCAAGGGTCTTTTCCACAGTTCTATTCGCAGTTTGCATTTGAATGGTTATATCAGGATCCCAAGGGACTGCTAATTTCTTAGCAACCTCCGCATCCATTGATACAATTTGTGAGCCACCATCCAACAAGCTCTCTACTTGACCAAACTTATTAATTACTGGATATATCGATTTTAAAGCATGGGACTCTTTAGATACGTAAATCTCCTTTGGAGTTTCCGATGAGCCTAGGCCTTGCAAATATTGCTCAACAGGGTCTGTCAGGACTATAGAACCCTTTGGTATTACTCCATCATCCTCTGTTGTGCACATAAAAGTGGCTTTGATGTCCAAGTCATTTATATTGATTTTTCCGAAATTAAAATTATCTTCTTGCTTTTTAATTGGAGGTGCGTCTTTATCAACCTCCTCGACTATAGTTACTTTTCGATTGTGAGCAGTCTGAATTGGTACCTTCTTTTTAGCTAAGGCCTTAAACAATTCTTGCCTTACTCCAGGAGAAATGCTCATAAGTACTTCCGCGCTTAGAGTAACAGGTGCTTTTAACAGACTGCTCAACGCTTGTTCCTCATTTTTAACATTTTCTATTGGAGCTAAATGCTTGTATGCTATCGGGCGCTTCTCATAGAAAGGCACTGGGTCATACTCTTCAACCGATTCTTTCGCATTACTATTTAAGTCTGGGATACCGAGATACGGTAATTGTTTGTGCCTTGGATTAGGATCCTCGACATCATCATTTCTTTCAAGTAATTTTTGATTATTTTTCAAAGTTTTCTTTGGTCCATTGAGATTTTCTGGTTTCTCAGGAGGAGTTTCTTCTTCCTCTGATTCTTCGATAATCACAACTTTCCTACCCCTTTTCTTTGGTGCGTCCTCCGGTGCCTTTGGTTCTCCAGCATTGGGTTTAGTCTTACTGGAAGGCCCCTTCATCGGACTCTTTAGTTTCCCGACTGTCCCTGAGTCTCGGTTTGAGATCTACAGGTGACGGCAAACTGCGACGCGTCTACGTCCCTCGTTTTATTGGGGTTTGTAACAAGGTTCGCAAGCATGTCGGTAAGTTTTAACACTTGGTTGTTCATGTTGAGAATCACATCGTCTCTTGTATCTCGCATCTGGTTTGTAAAAACGGAAATTTCATTTCCATTATTATTATCCGGTAGCCTGATTATACCTGGGACAACAGCTTCTTGACTAAAGACTTCTCCAGGCTCTGCAAACATATTATTTTGTAGAGTCAAATTTTGCCTACTAGCCTCCTCGACAATTTGTCGAACAGATTTTTCGCCATTCCCTCTAGGTACTGCAGTATTATTATGCGTAAAATACATTCGGTTCCCAAGAAGCTTGATTTTCTTCTGGGCTACGTGTGCTTCTCTATGTGGACAATTCGAAGTAAAATGGCCTGGTTCATCACAGTACCAACAGCCATCTGAAGTCATTTTATAACTCACCACTTTGCTTTGTGGGTTACTGATATTCGGCTGTTGGTGAACTAAAGTCTCTAAGAGTTTCTTCATTTCGATCTGCGTGTTTTGTACCATATTACGAAGTTCTGAATTCTGTTTTTGATCTACTTTAATTTGATCAAGGAACGTTGCAGTAATACTTCGCAATTCTTCGAATTCATCGTGCTCCGTTTTAATTTCCCGTTCGCGCGCTTGAACTGATCTACCAGTCGATACAGCTCTCGCGTTGCTTGGGTGGTCTTGGGAGTCTCCAGTAAGACGTCCAGCAATGGTTTCTGCCATGTCTATGATGTCTATGATATCGTATGGATCTTCAGTTCTTCTAGCAGTGGTCTCATCCTCGTTGCCTTTCTGTTTTCGGTCTCTAGTTTGTTCAATATTCAAACTGGCCTTAACTTGATCAGCAAAGGAATCTGTCAGACAGCCTAAGAACATGTCAACTAGCTCTCGGTTGCTCACCAGTACTGGCGGCGCCATGAGTAATTTTTGTTGTGCCCTAAAACTTCGAGTTAAAATTTTCAACTCTGTCAAGTTCTTTTCTGCTAGCCGACTGTTTTCTCTACATACAGCTCTTAGTCCAGTTAAGGTCCCTTTTCCTGCATTTCGCGCATCAGGGTAATCTGCTATTAGCGCCTTTTTAAACTCGTCAAAGGAGCCGTCTTCGAATGTTTTAAATGCTTTCCATTTGAATTCAGTCCTTTGATCCGTATATTTTCCTAATTTCTTCTTTTTCTCCACGTCACTATTAATACCATATTCTGCGAAAAGATCTTCCATTTGGTCTAAGAAACGTAGAAGCTCAATTGGTTTCTCTTTATCGAAGAACGGGGCTCCCTTATTACCGGGTAATGGCATGGTTCTGTGTGAAGACCGACCTGTAGGGGCCGGTTCTTCTATGCTTGAACTCGATGGGTCAGGCATGATTATTGGGTTTCTTCTGGCTTTTGAGTTCGAAGATTTTGGTTCAGATTGACGAACAGCTTTCGCAGGTCGACTAGGTATAGGTTTTGGAGGTACTTCTTTTCTTAACGGGTAACGTTGTACGACTGGCTCAGCAGCACGTTTGGGTTTCTGTGTAGGAGGTAAGGGTACTTGTGGACCTTCTCTAGCTCTTTTAGATGTGGCTGTTTCTCTGATTTTTATGGCTGCCGTTGTAAACGACTTTTGATGCTAGTTCTTGGTATTAGAAACTAGGCTTGGTTTTTTATGGTCTTTGGTTGATTCAAACAGATGTTTAAATAATTCGAAAACCGCTTTCAAACAACTTTTTCAAGTACAATTGAAAAACAAAACAAATGAAAACCCTCGCGGTGGGCTCCAGATGAGAAGACCGTGTCACGCGGGAGTGAGAATAGTGTAATCGGACGCGCTGACAAGATGCGTGAACACCTAAACAACACACACCCACAAACACCTTAAACACTTATCACCACAGGTACGTGCTCGGTACTTCGAGTTCGGGTTCGTACGGTAAACAGAATTACCACACTTGTTTTGTTAGAACTTAAGTAGAAGTTCGGGGAAACGTTTTTTGTATATTTTATATCACTTGTCTAAGTCTAGTAGACCTTTTTGGAACAAAAGGTATTGTTTTACGTGCGGACACAGTGTAGAGTTCGAAACTTTAGTAGTCTTTGAAGGGAAACAGCTTTTATTGGGACTGTCTCGGTGTTCTGGGATTGCGCTCTAACTGTATACGAAGAAATGACAAGGAAATTGTGCTTTGTAGACTTTTATAACTCCCTTGAGTTTTTATTATGCCTCTGATGCGGTCCAAACTAGTCTTAAAGACTCCTCAAGCACGCTCACTTGGATTCCTCGGTAATAGTAGACAGCTCTCTTACTAATTGACGAGACAACCTTACAAAAGCTTTGTGATCCCCACTTAACACACTGGTTCCGGGCACACGTTACTTATGTCTGCGAAGAAAAGTCCTTAAATTGATTACAAACTTATCCACTACCTCAGATGCTACTGGGAGTGCGACAGCTGGTCAACGCGGGGGATAATTCCTTGCGTTTCAGCCTGCGCACATCCTCTTTTTATACTATTCTATGTTCTCTATTTATATTTACATGTCCGTGCATTGTCCGAAAGGTCGGACGAATTAATACTGATTTTTAGTAAAGGTTTGAAGTGGCTCGATTGTGCGTGGCACAACTGAGCTGACTTCTTTTAAGTTTTCGTAGTGTTTTCTCTATTGTGGCGACGCGACGCATCAGTATTGATGCGTACACGGGAATCGCCGTAAACGGTTTTCACGATCGGTTCAGCCGAGACGAACGGTCCGCTTAGTGATTTTTCTCTCTATTATTAGATACTATGCCCGGGCCTCGGACCGCACGGCAAATCGTTCATAGTTTTTTCTCTTTTGGCAGGCTTCGGAATATTTCACGAAGCTTAGTTTTCTTGGGTCAATGATGCCATGATTTGTGATGCACGTGATGCGTCTCTCCACATGACTTCTTGGATCATGCTTCATAGCACGTGACCGAATGACTTCTCGCATCAGGTACACGTCGAGTTTCTACGCTCGCGCGTTTATCTTTAGAATTAATATCTTTTAATCCATAATAAGGTGAGACCCTGGTTTGGTGTAAACTCCAACACCCTGCGCGGGGGTGTTTTTACTCTAGAACACTCGGTAGCGTACTATTTCATGGTAGTGTAGCCTTTTATTAGACTTCGAGTATATTGAGGTGATTCGGTCACGAACCGACCGCAATTCCTACTGTCTAAGGCGTGCACATTTCTCGGATGTAAACTTTAATCGACTAGACCGGGTTGCGTCTAACGATCCTTATGATCAATGTGACTGTATTTCTACTATAGGAGGTTTTATAGGAGAAATCGCTAAAATTCGCATTTTTACGGGTGTATTGTTACACTCCGTATCAGCTGTTCATCTGGCATGAAAATGGGTGGGTCGAAAGAAGGGCCCACCGTTGGGATAAAGGCAAGGTCTTGAGGGAGAGAGGTCATCATATGAAGGGGAGCGAAGGTAGGTGGGAAGGCTGTGAGAGGTGGTTGATTCCGAGGCATTGCGTGAGCAGTCACAAAGGCCTGGGAGGTTGAGGGCAATGACATGGCATCTTCGGGCTGGTGGAGGTTCACTGAACATCCTCCCAAGGCATGACAGTGAGTCGCGCAAGCTCCTCAGACACATTTTATGTTAACGCGACGTTTTGCGCACCCTGGTACTATGCATCGACCTTTTATTGGGGGTCCTGACATGGCGGTGACGACTTCATAGCGCGAGTAGGTTGATAGCGACGCATAGAGAGATAGCGAGACCTAAAATGGCGTAGCGTCAGCCAGACATCTGCAATAGCAATGGAGAAACAACTCACGAAGGCGTATAGTTAGTTGACAATAACATCTAAAGGGACCTACTTGTCAGTGACATCCCACCAGTAGCAAATAGTACCTACAATCAAATGGGCGAAAGCTTACGGTCGAAAGAAAAGGATGTAGTATGGTGGGAGGGTAGCGCACGATGAAGAAGCTTGGGAGGAACAACGTCGGCGACGTCAGCCCAGGCTGTATTTTTAGACCAAATTGACCTGGAATGTTCCACCTTATTCATTTCCATAGGGTGTGCAATTGGCCACTTGGCCAAAATGCCATGGGCTGTGGAACATTGGAATATTTGAAAAAAAGCCTTTCAAAAATAAAAATCATTGCACCTATAATAAAAAATACCCCCAGAATATATTTTCTGCTTATAATATCATTCTACAGCATCTATTTTTAGCCTGATATGTTTATGATTTATTACAAATCTAAATATAACTCACATGTGTTTCATGATTAAAAATTCTCAGAAATGGGATATTCTGGGTCACTGATATGTTTTCTGTATGTTTTTTCTTGAGATCCAGAATGTTTGTAATTTATTACAAATCTAAATATAGCTCAGATATGTTTGATGATTCAAAAATCTCATCCTGGATCAGCATAAATGGGATATTCTGGGTCACTGATATGTTTCCTGTATGTTTTTTCTTGAGATCCAGAATGTTTGTAATTTATTACAAATCTAAATATAGCTCAGATATGTTTGATGATTCAAAAATCTCATCCTGGATCAGCATTGATGACTGGTATGTTTTCCTATATTCTGTGGATGTTTTCTTTTTGCCTAAACAGCATCCAAATATGTTTTTTCTAGGGATCCAGAATGTTGGACAGATCTAAATATAGCTCAGATATGTTTTATGATTGAAAATTCTTAGAAATGGTACATCCTGGATCAGCATTGTTGACTGGTATATTTTCTTGTATTCTGTGTATGTTTTTCTTGCCAAAAGAGCATCCACATATGTTTTTCCATGTCATAATTCTTCTAAAAAAGCTGCCTTTCACCAGAACATTCCAATTGTAATGATTTTCAGTTTTCTCCATCAAAACTTGTGTTACAGCTACTCAAAGCTACCAAGTAATGTAGAAATATATTTCCGATTTTTTCAAAAAATTTCCACCTCAATCGGAGGTGGGGAGATGATGGATGCACAAGTCATGTTCCGGATGACCTTTTGTTCTTTGATCCTTCTAGGTAACAAACAATCATCAACAAAGGTAGCTTCTGAGAGCGGAATTCATGAAAAGTGCACTTTTGTGGGTGTCATTCAATATATTCATGGATTTGACCTCATAGTTCTTCAATTTCAATTGGTTTGTATCATATAGTACATATTTTGTATTTCAATTCAGCAGCTTTTCGGATGGATGGCTCAGGTTTCGGCTGGATGATGCTGCCAAAGGCATTGCCACATAGATACAAATAGTTACCCCCAAGAGCCCAGATCTTCAAAAGGCACAGTCATTCATTCTCTACACTTGTATTTGATGAAAAATATATATTTCAGTACTCTAAAAGAAGAACATAGCCCATTTTTCCATTTTTTGTGTGCATGGCGCCCTCGCAAGTGGATGGATGCCACATCGTGAAGTTGGATGATGAGTTTGAAAGCTGAAGACAAACAGATGCAAACTCTCCAAACATATTGAAACCAACGGAAATTGAGCAAGGAGGGGAAGGCAACATTATACTGACAGTGGTAAAATAGGTCAGCATGATTGAATTAGGAACTCTGACTTAACTCACTATCATAAGTTGGCTAAAAGTTGTAGAGAAAAGAGTATCTTTGTTTTTAAAGTCAAAAACATATCATTCCAGCAAGTTGTAAACTAATACATGCCAGGTAGAGTCTACCAAATATCCATAGCATAAGTGAAAGGATATTAGAACAGGCAGTTTTGTGTTTTGAGTATAATAACACACCTGAAAGTCTTGTTTTCATTTTTTCATATTTAGGAGGGTTTTAAAACATGTAATTGTGTTGGGAAAACTTGGTGTACTGTTCTAAATTTCAGGGAATTAGATTCACAGGATCCTAAGTAAAGGTTGGTGTCAGTAAAAAGTCTCTGAGTACAATATCCACTTTGATAATGAAGGTTTTGTTTGTGAAAGCCATTGAATAGGGTGTGTTTCTTCAGACTTTAACTATACTGTGTCCACTTAAACCATCCAATGGCCATAAAACTCCATAGATATCTTCAGAAGAAAAAACTGAATGTATTCCCAAAGTTTTATGGAAATCAGAAGATTGTGGAGATACAGGTGGATGGGATAGATGCAGAGGGTCACAATAAAGCAACTGAAAGTGCCGGAATCTCATTTGCGATATTAGACTTCTTATGACTTTTACTCCCTGCCCGATGAATACATATTGCCACCTATCTTAAATGTTAATATCATTCCTCAGAACCTCTAAATACATTTTTCCATATTTTTCTCTTCCCAATAACGGACGCTGGAGTAACTTGCGCAACTCTCCGCCAGCGCTCGGCGTTTTCCGAGCGCTGTTGATGCGTCGTTGAGCATGCCACATCGACGCTGTCAACTGTAACCACCCCAACTCCTTCTCGCACCTCTCCCCTTTTTCCTCTTAGTGGTAGCCCTTCGAAAACATACGTGCTTTGCTCATGTCTACATCCCATCATCATTGACCGAGCAGTCCCATAGACAAACAAATCCTCGAGCAGGAACTTGCAGACACGCCCTTCGACGACTTGGATGACGAGGTCGATAACGGAGATGACGACGATGAGCGGCGTCCACGTCCATGTGGGAGCTTCATCTCGTGGAGCACAACGGATCAGCTGGGCCCATTAGACATTAACTGAGTATGTCTAACTTCATTATGGTGAGTTTTTCCTACAGTGTTGCCAACGGCGCCACCAGCAGATGGCTGACATGGTACGCCAACAGGGCGTGCCACGTCGACGACACCAAGACTCCACAACTAGGGACGACAACAACAATTCACCACCACCACCCTCCACCAACGACGGTGACCGCCCACCACTACCACCACAACGGCCACGAGTCGTCGGATCATCGGCGCCAACGGCTCCACCACGAAATGGCTGACACGGCACACCACACATTGACGTCGACTTTCAGGACGACGGACATGACCCCAATACCCGACAACAACGACGATCCACCATCAACACCCTCCATCAATATCCCCTAGCTGAAACACAAGTTTCGTCAGCTTCGGTAACTCTTCGACCTCACCTCAATGGGGACCTCAATGATACGCCTCCCTCTCTTCCCTCTTCCACTGACTCTCAACCACTTGGACCAACGCAGGTTGCAAGCCAAAAGTCTACCCATGGACGGCGACACGCGTGCACCCTTACCACTACCAAGGGCGACGAGTGCCCATCACCAGCGTCACCAACCCAGGTGAGCTAACGTGTCCCCTCCCTTCCCTTCCCGTGAATCCGTGATCACCCACAACCCAGCTGCCACATCGAACAGCCGATTCATTGATTCCGACACAACACGATGACGGACAACCAACGCAATGACGAAGAACACCACGACGGCTCGACAACGACATGAGACAGTGTCAATGATGATGCGACAACAACACAGGCGGGACGACGACGACAACTGCGGTATGACGCCCAGGACAACGACAGTACGGTGACAACGCAAGACGACAACAAAAAAGTCTACCCACGGATGGCGACATGCGTGCGCCCCTACCACTACAAAGGGCGACGAGTACCCATCACCAGCGTCACCAACCCAGGTGAGCTGACATGTCCCCTCCCTTCCCTTCCCGTGATCACCCACAACCCAGCTGCCACATCGCGAACAACGGCCGATTCATTGTTTCCGACACAACATGATGACGGACAACCAATGTAATGACGAAGAACACCACAACGGCTCGACGACGACATGAGACAGTGTCAATGATGACGCGATAACAACACAGGCGGGACGACGACGACGACTGCGGTATGACGCCCACAGTACAGTGACAACGCAAAACAACAACAACGTGACTACCACGCATGACCACATTGACGCGACCACAATGCATGACGACTAATAGCGAGGATGGTGGATGCGGGATGGCACCGAACGCTAGGCGCGCTGAATTGCTACAGTGCATATTTCTTTTTTGTGAGGTTGTTGAGACTCGGTTTATGTGTTTTTCTGCAAATGTATATTATCGGATCTTTCATTACATTCTTTTTACTGTGTTGGCTTCCCTGTATGTCGTGTGGTGGAGTAGCTAGCTTTTTCCCAAGTTTTTTTTCAAGTTGTTTACATCTGTGTACCAATGGCGTCTAAGGCCCCAAAGTCATCCAAAAATGGTTTGTCGCATCCAACTATTTCGGTCAGATTTGACAGAGGGAAACTATCTGAAGTGGTCTGAACATTATCACAGATATATTCGGTGAAGTTTTAAAGGTTGTTTCTAGGAGGAACAAAGCTGTAGGACATATATATCTCCTCAGAAGTAAAACTATGCATTGTTGACAATTGTGTACCAAAGGCATCAAAAGGCCGAAGGTCATCCGAAATGGATTTGTCGCATCCAGCCTATTTCGGTCAGATTTGACAGAGGAAACTATTTAGGAGTGTCAGAACATCATCAAATATATATGGTAAAGTTTCAGGTGTTCTTTCTAGGAGAAACAAAGCTGTGGGAACATAAATGTCTCCCCAGAATTAAATAATAAATAGGTACCCATATAATATCAACAATACCTCTTTCCACCCACCCTACAGCAAGCTGTGCATTAACCCACATCCTGACCAAGTGGTCAAATGCACTCCCTATGGAAATGAATAAAGTGCATTATTGCAGGGTATAAGGCATAGGGCTACAGCCAAGGGTGGCGATGTGTCAGTATTTGGATGACTCATCAAACAACCGCTATCGACATTTCAGAGCTTTTTCGTCTGAAAATCAGGATAATTCTTGAAAACGGGGATTCAATACATTGTAGAATAGTAATTATCATAAGTATCCATAACGCCAACAGGGAGAAATTGCAGCTGGGTGGTCCGGACAGTGAGGCGGAGTCCGGCGTGAGGCAGATGAGGCGGATTTCTCATATCCGACTTGCACTCTCCGTTCCTGTGCATTCCGCGGATCATTCCGGTGTCAATTCCGGAATGCCCAAATTCCGCCGGAATGGTAAGGCACCAGAATGGTGAAAATAGCAGGCCTCCCTGCCAAATTTCATTCCTCTGGAATCCACCGGAATCCGCCGGAATGACCGGATTCCTGCAGGAATTAGGGGGGCACTGATAAGACCTCCTTGGACCGCACGGCAAATCGTTCATAGTTTTTCTCTTTTGGCAGGCTTTGGAATATTTTACGAAGCTTAGTTTTCTTGGATCAATGATGCCATGATTTGTGATGCGCGAGATGCGTCTCTCCACATGACTTCTTGGATCATGCTTCGTAGCACGTGACCGAATGACTTCTCGCATCAGGTACACGTCGAGTTTCTACGCTCGCGCTTTTATCTTTAGAATTAATATCTTTTAATCCATAATAAAGTGAGACCCTGGTTTGGTGTAAACTCCAACACCCTGTGCGGGGGTGTTTTTTACTCTAGAACACTCGGTAGCGTACTATTTCATGGTAGTGTAGCCTTTTATTAGACTTCGAGTATATTCAGGTGATTCAGTCACGAACCGACCGCAATTCCTACTGTCTAAGGCATGCACATTTCTCAGATGTAGACTTTAATCGACTAGACCGGGTTGCGTCTAACGATCCTTATGATCAATGTGACTGTATTTCTACTATAGGAGGTTTTATAGGAGAAATCGCTAAAATTCGCATTTTTACGGGTGTATTGTTACACTCCGTATCAACGCTGAAGACAAAGAGACACCAAAAAGGAAGCAAAAGAGAGAAGAAAGCGGCGAGAGCTGATAAGGAACAAGATGAAGGGGGAAAAGCACTAGAAAGTGCGGAAAGTGCACAAAGGTCATAAAAACAACCATGTAACGTGAAAGGTGGTGGTTGTTGTCCCAAATTCAAAAGTAAAGAAGGCTTAGGGCTCTGAGACAAAGATTGAATGGCACCAGCACCTCCGAAAAGAATGCAGCCACAGGTGAAAGCTGATTATTAAAGGATGCCAAAAGGCAGGCAGAAGAAGGAAAACAATGACAGAAGGTGATACAGCGTACAAGAAAGCGAGAAAAGCGCTCAAAAGTGCAAAAAGGTCTGAAAAGACACTGTGGGGGGTCAAGAAAGACAAAGGACGTCTGAATTTTGAAAACAAAAAGGGAAAAAACGTCTGGGGTACAATTAAAAGACACCAGTGCTTTGGAGAAGGTGATAGGACATAAGAAGAGGAAGAAAAAGGGTTGAAAGTACGAAAAAAGGCACCAGAGGAGGATCAAAGTTGACGCCAGGATAAGGAGAGGCACCAGAAACGAGAAAAAGAAGGGAAAAATGAGGAAAGTGCGTTTGCAAGGCAAAAGCAGCTATAAGATGAAAATGAATGGAAGCAGAAGCAGAAGGGAGAAAGCAAAAGATGGGCCATGACAGCGAGACTGGGAAGGTCAAGCAAAAGATAGGTATGCAGAAGAGAAGAAGAGATAGAAAAGAATGGAAGGAACATCAGAGGACATTCAACGATGGCAAAAGCATGAAAATGGGGGTTACGAAAAGCAATCCGATGAAAAGGGTGGAAAACATCAAGGAAGTGGGGTGTTGGCAAAGCATAGCTCTCAGACAAGGGGGAAATGGCAGAAAAAGGGTCTAGGGCATTGAAAGAGGACAAGGAAGGGAAAAGAGGGGCAAAAAGGGCAATCGTGGCAACAACGAGAAAAGACGAAACGAGAACAAGCAAGAGATCAGAGCGATCTGACGATCCACTCCACTGATCCACCAAGCCACCATGTCTGCAAAACCACAAAGAAAACAGAAAAGAGGGCAAACTAACCTTCATCGGCATCGTCATCCCAGTCCCGTTTCGCTTTCTTCGCTGGTGGGGGCGACGCAGCAGTCTTATCTGCCGTAGCCACGGCCTTCTTGGAGCTCTTTGTGCTAGGCCCAGCATCTGCATCATCTTCAGCGTCATCCTCCACATCTGCCTCAGCTTCACCTTCATCTTCGGACTCAACCATCGCTTGGGACTTTTTGGAACGTTTAGAGGCACCATTGCCATTAGGGTAGTTCACGGTAGCGTTTTTCGGCTTGTTTTTCATCTTGTTTTTTGATGNAAAAACAACATCAAAAACAACTCAAAAATAGCTCAAAAACGAG